TCAATTAAGCTGAAATATCGAATCATCCTTAATAATGGCTAAAGGTATAGCCGAAAGCGCTCGGAAATATAAATCATTTGGACAGTTCTTACGCACCCTTTGTCCAGAAAAGAAAGGTCTTGTTAGAACACAAGAAAAATTAAATAAAAAGATTAACCGTAGTACATTGTCTGTCGTTTTTAATGAAACATGAAAATATATATATATATATATATATATATATATATATATATATATATATATATATATATATATATATTAATTGATTTAAAATGTTTTTTTTTTCGCTACACAGTTCTAACCATGTTTCAAAATGGAAGCTGAAAAAATAAAAATATCTATAAAAATATCTATAAGAACACCGGATTATATATCTTACTGTTTTTTTATATATATATATATATATATATATATATATATATATATATATATATATATATATATATATATATAAACTTACTGGTCACAGTTGAATTAGACCAGGAAGCAAAGAAGAATTCATTCGAGAAAGCTAAGGTTTAAAATGATTTAAAAAATATGAAAAATCTGTCTTGAAGATTTTATTTTAGTTTTAATTTCAAGATGATAGATTAATTTTAATATTTCCAATAATCAAAATACTATGCTGTATTTCAAAACTAAATTGAAGTTTTTTGGGGTTTTTTTTTTTTTGCTAAAAAATCTCATTTCAGCGCCATTTTTAAGCTGCGTTTGTAATTCTTTTTATTAAAAAATATATTTCAAAAGTAAAATATACTATTCTGAAATTTTATTTCAGAAATATTAACTGATTTAAAGTATAATTAATCTGATTTGAAAGAAATATTGAGGTTGAGATCATAGACAAAGAACACCATTGGAAAATTCGTAAACTTAAGGAATCAGCACACAAAAATCTCCTGAGTCGACCAAGCATAGAAATGAATACATTATGGGAACCAGTAATAAGGAGTGCCAGAGAAAATCGATTATAACAACAAAAGTTGCAATATGAGATCTGGTAAAAATATGAAATGGTAACAGCAAAAATTGCAATATGAGCAGTGGTAAAAATGGTTGCTGAAGACATTAGGTTTATAATACCCAGAAATTCAAGAACACATGGCACAGTGGATAAAGGTGTTGGTTAGATCAACTGACAGGACCCAAAAGTGTGAGTTCCATATCTGGTTAAGGCAGTGGAGAACTTTCAGAGGGAAAATTAACAGGAGATAACTAATAACTGACATCCATTAAACATGGCACGTGGAACGAGAACAGTCTACCCCAGTGAGTGAAATAAATGGTTCAGTTCAACATTCCAACCACCTGAAGAAGCCGAAAACGTTGTAATAAATATGGCGACAGATACTGAAGGGCCGAAACATTGTAATAAATATGGAAACAAAGATGAAGACAATAGTCTGAATAATGTAAATAGTGTACATAATACCTCATCTCAGAAATATAGACAGATACTGAAGGGCCGAAACATTGTAATAAATATGGTAACAAAGATGAGGACAATAGTCTGAATAATGTAAATAGTGTACATAATACCTCATCTCAGAAATATAGACAGATACTGAAGGGCCGAAACATTGTAATAAATATGGCGACAAAGATGAGGACAATAGTCCGAATAATGTAAATAGTATACATAATACCTCATCTCAGAAATATAGACAGATACTGAAGGGCCGAAACATTGTAATAAATATGGCGACAAAGATGAAGACAATAGTCCGAATAATGTAAATAGTATACATAATACCTCATCTCAGAAATATAGACAGATATTATTTACTTTGAATTTGAAAATATCGCAGAAATGCATGTTTTTAATACGGCAGCAACTCTTTATTTAAGATGTTGATATGCTAACAGATTATTGACAGTTGATGACAGATGTTTGATTATCAAATGTTTTTGTACGGAGGCTTTATGTGTAAAAATCATTGAAGAATATAACGTGAACGCCTTTTTATATAATTGTTACGTACTTCTTATGTACGAATATATATATATGTACTCGGGATGTGTATTTCTTTGTATACAAATCTATATAATAAATGCGAATGTCAGTGTGTCACTGTGTCACGCTTTTTCAACTTTACTCCTAGAAGGCTTAGCCCAAGATATCATACCATTTTGGGATCAGACCGATTCCATGAGCAAATTAAAAACATTCCGTGCTGGATCCGGACCCGCAATCCTAAAATTTTGGATTACTGCGATTGTTTTTTTAGATTCCGCCGTCTTGGCTTCTACTGATAAAAACAATTAAAGGGACATAACTCTCTATCTTTCAATAGCTCATGTTTAAAATGAAAAAAAAAATACTGTTCTCAAATTACAGTATTTCAAAATCAAATTGTCCGTGTTTTCAACTATACTCCTAGAGGCCGTAACCCAGCATATAATACCGTTTTGAAATCAGGCCTGGTGATGTGAGCAAATTAAAAAAATATTCCGGGTCGGATCTGAACCCGCAATCCTGAAATTTTGGATTCACAATTTTTCATTACTGTGATTTGGTTTCGGCAATATTTTTAAGTGATTTTTTTTTTGCGACAATTTTTTTAGTACAACAAATTTTATAACTTGGAAATAAATTTGGGAATAATCGAAATTAATTGCGAAATCCAGAGAAAGTCACCCATGAATTAAAAATAATTGCTTGTACGTAAAGTAAGGACCTACGTACATCAAATTATCTTTAAATTAAGTAACAACAGAAGAATGATCGTTTAAAATTAAATATTAATGCAATACTGTTTTTCAGTATCTGTCTATATTTCTGAGATGAGGTATTATGTACACTATTTACATTATACGCCTAACTGTTATACGGTTATCTAACCAACGCCTTTATCCACTGTGCCATGTGTCCTCCAGTGACAGACCCAAAAGAAGGTGAGTTCAATACCCGGTTAAGGCAGTGGAGAACTTTCAGAAGGAAAATTAACAGGAGATAACTGATAACTGACATCCATCAAACATGGCACGTGGAACTAGAACAGTCTACCCCAGTGATCGAAATAAAGGGTTCAGTTCGAAATTCCAACCACCTGAAGAAGGCCGGAGCGTATAACGGCCGAAACGTTGTGATAAATATGGCGACAAAGATGAGGACAATAGTCCGGATAATGTAAATACTGTACATAATACCTCATCTCAGAAATATAGACAGACTCTGTACTCCCTTACTTCTTAAACTAACGCTAAACATTCATGTGACTGCTATTGCAATATTCTTAAGCACAAATATATAACGAGGCAATAGGGGGATATCTACGTGGGATTATTCAATCACCCTCTTAACTCTAGAACACTAACCATGGGTATATAGTACCCAGCACAAATTTTCTTATTTTTAATTACAATTTTCAGTACCTGATTTTCTAACCTAAATAATGTTTTTCAGTTCCTATTAATATTAACTCAAAGTACAAAGCATCAAATGCCTGCATGTAAAATATTTCAAATAAAGATTTATATTTAATATTTTATTTTTGATATTTTCAAAGTCGGGTATGATATACCCATGGTTAGTCACTTTAATTGATGATTAGTATTCTAGGGTTAATAACAACAAGAACGTTTTGACGATAAGCTTTGTTTTTATCAAGTTTGGGGTCTTTTTTTTCAACATGGTATGTTCGTTTGTAGAAAATTTTTGGATCTGCCTATTTTAAGCTGTCATCTGTGTGGTGCTTGTGAATTTTGGCAAGTGGCAATGATGCCTTCATCTAATTAATGTCTTACCATTATGGGAGTGGTATTTTTTTAAAATCATCTCACCCCATACCAAGCAGTAGAGCCACTAAGACTCAAGGCGTTACTGAGTGCGAAAAATTACGAAATTGATGGTTAGTGTTCTAGTGTTAATATAGTTTTCTTTGTTCTTTTTTTTTTTTTAAGCTTTTCACCCCAAGCGAGTCGGGAGTGCCACTAGCACGCAAGGGGTTACAGAGATAGGGAGCAAGAGGCGTGATAGAGGAAAGGATGAAGAGAAGGACGGGGGAATTAGATCAAAGCATCTGAAGATGTCGACTGACATTATATTTGAATAGTTGGAGATTATAGCTTATCAGGGAAGCAAGTAGGAGAAAAGGGGTTCCACAGTCGGGAAGTGCGAGACATGAACGTAGAAAAGACGGCCCCATTTAACCGTTTTGACAGTGAAAGGGTGGGACTGAGATGCCGACCTGGTGGCACGTTTAAATTCGTGCAGTTTGGGAACTAGCAAAAATAGCTCGTCGGAGCACTTACCGTGAAAATATTCGTAGAAAAGACAGAGGGAGGCGACGGCACGTCTGTGAGAGAGCGACTATAAACGAGATGCCAGATCAGGGCCAACCCCATTGCATATCCGACACTGGATTTTGTCGAGGGCCCTAAGACGAACAGCGGGGGCCCCAGACCATATAAGGCAGCAATATTCCATGCAAGGGCGAATGGTTGATTTACAGATTTGAAGGATGGACTCGGGCCAGAAACACTTTCTGGCGCGACCTAGAGACCCAACTTTCCTTGCGATAGATGAAGCTGTTGATTCAATGTATTTGTTCCATCTCAGGTCAGCGGACAGCGTGAGACCAAGCAGGCGCAAAGAGGTGCTCTCGAGGAGTTGAGCATCATACATTCTAATGAGAGGCTGGCAGTCTTCTCCGTGGTAGGTAATAAAGAGCAGCTTTGTCTTTGAGGCCTTAAAGTTAAGCGGCCATTTCCTGCCCTAGTCGACAACCGATTGGCGGCCCTTTTTTCGAGAGCAACGGCCAGGTTAGATTTTGTCAGCGATAACACATTTGCTATTTAGACAGGAGTAAATAGTGGTGTCGTCTGCATAGATGCCTTCTTGGGAACTGTTGACATGTTCCGTCAGAATTTCTGGGATGAGGAGTTATTTACATTATTTACACTCATCTTTGTTGCTATTATCACAACGTTTCGATTGTTGTACTCTCCGGCCTTCAACAGTAGATTGTTGACATACAACTGTCCGTGTCTAGGGATACCTCGAACAGAAATAAGTTACAGTTTCTGGGAGAGAGAGAGAGCATATAATCTGGTGCGAATGTGTAGGCCCTGAGAAAGGACATTATGCTCAGCTATATTATGAGGAGGTATGCCGCCCTAAGGACCTTTCGACTTTGGAACGGGAGCATAATGGTTGGCGCGATAGACTCTTGAATGTCCGAGTTAGCTCGACCGAATAACAATGTTTGGAATTTTGGTTAAAAATCTTTTTCTTGCGTCAGTGAGTAAAGATTGCTAGAAGAAAATCTTAGCAACTTTTTTTTTTTTTTTTTTTTTTTTTTTTTGCGGTGAAAAATACATTGATTCGAAAATTCTTGCAAAAATCAAATAATTACCGGATTCTTATGAAAATTCCAGGACTTATTATCAAATGAATGAAATTAATTTTGAAACATTTCGTTTTTAGAAAATCATGGTAGTTATTTATTTATTTATTTTTTTGTTTACATTTTTTTTTACCCTCTCTTATTTAATTTTTAGGATATTTTGAGAAATTCTTTCGCAACGCTTCGTATTTATACGATACACGAGCTTAAAAATTTTCTTTCAAATAGTTTTTATTCTCCCAAGTACTTTTAATCTCATCTACCATCTTTAGAGTTCAGGTTCAAAAACTTGTGATATGTTTCTTAGTCCGTTTTCGAAGGTTAACTAGAAATTATTCCGTTCAGTCGAAAGGATCTCATCGAAAACTAATCGACATATATCTAAATTATTTAAACAAACCTGTATGAATATAAACATCGTTTAAAATTGTAGTTAAATAAAACGAATTCTAACCTAAACATCTTTTAAAATTGTAGTTAAATAAAACGTATTCTAACCTAAACCTCGTTTAAAATTGTAGTTAAATGAAACGAATTCTAATCTAATCATCTTTTAAAATTGTAGTTAAATAAAACGAATTCTAACCTAAACCTCGTTTAAAATTGTAGTTAAATAAAACGAATTCTAATCTAAACATCTTTTAAAATTGTAGTTAAATAAAACGTATTCTAACCTAAACACCTCTCTCAAAGTACTACAAGCACTTAAAAGAATCCAATAAAACACCTACAGCAAAATGAAATTAATATGAAAAGCGAGATGTAAACCATTGAATGACCCATGTCCTTTGTACTTACATGAGAAACTATATATTACTAGGTTTATAAAAAAATAAAAGTTTACTAAATAGTGAAATTAATTAGCTATTTTTGCCGTCATTGTCATAAATTTTACATAAATAATATTTAAATATAAATTTTTAAAAAATTGTGACCTAGTAAAAGACATACTTATAGTTGATGTGAAAATAATTTTACATACTGTAAGTGATTCTAATACATTTACTTGTTTTAAAAAGAAATATAGTATATTAAAATTTAAAAGTGAAAATATTTTTCAAATCGTAGTTAAATAAAAAGTATTCTAACCTAAACACCCCCCAAAAATATCTTTAAATATACAAATAGAAAAAAATGCCGTAAAATTTTTGCCGTTAACAATAAATTAAAAAAATCCAGACGACATGCATTTAACGGATGTCAGATTTCATTAAAAAAAATACATCCTACCCCTACCAAAACGTAACTAATAACAGATACATCAAAATACAGAGATAATGAACACGCAAACACCCCTTGTCTAGTGGAAGTAGATTTATCTGTAACCTTGGAAACGTGAATTATGATTTTTGCTGTGTCTTTAAAACCCAGTAATTTAAAAAATAAGTTACTCCTAAATTCGCTTGAGGATGAAATGGAACTAATGTCTTTAATTTAATTACAAAATTAAATTCGAAGCTTTTAGCTTCCATTTTTGAAACATGGTTAGAACTGTGTAGCAAAAAAACATATTTTAAATCAATTAATTTATAATATTATTACTCTGTAAATTTACATTGAGCACTATTTTGCAAAAATAACAATATCTATAAGAACACCGGATTATATATCTTACTGTTCTTTCTTTCTTTTATATATATATATATATATATATATATATATATATATATATATAATTTATTCGAAGACTATAAGATAAATATGTTATAAAATCACTACAAAAATAGACATTTTGTTTCAACACTTCTGGTGTCTTATCAAGTGATGGTGTTGGAGCAAAAACATCACATGATAAGACACCAGAAATGTTGAAACAAAATAGCTATTTTTTTGTAGTGATTTTATAACATATTTATCTTATAGTCTTCGAATAAATATATTTCCTCTAATCTGTATTGAGCACTCTTTTAAGAATAGTATTTTTTGGTTATTGGAATTTATTCCTGTATACACCAATCCTATATATATATATATATATATATATATATATATATATATATATATAGTCTGTCGTTCATGCTTCTCTATTTTTTATCTATCTATCTATCTATCTATCTATCTATATATATATATATATATATATATATATATATATATATATATATACTTGGAATGTCATGCATGATGTGTGATACTTTATATTTACAAACAC